TTAACAACAGAAATTTTGTGGCTATAAGTCAAGGACTATCTATATTCCTTTTTACTTTAAAGGACACATTTGGACTTCTCGTTCTTAGCAAATCCTGCACAATCACGGTTCTAAATTTGAGTCACAGAAGCCCTTGTCATGGGCTGTGTTGATGCATCATGTTAAGCCATGTTGGGTTAAACAGGGTTTGTTGAATAAACTGCATTTGTCTGGGTAAGCACACCTTAAGTGATAGACAATAATGTCTACCGGATAAGATTAAATAAGCCATATTGCGGGAAAGATACAGGTGGTTCCCAACTTGGGACATTAATTGAGTCTAAAATTTCTGTTGCTAAGTAAGACAGTTATGTGAGCTTTGCCCCATTTTATGACCTATCTTGCCACAGTTGTTAAGTGAATCTCTGCAGTTAAGTTAGTAACACAGTTGTTAAGTGAAACGGGCTTCCCCTTTGACTTTGCTTGTCAGAAGGTCACAAAAGGGGATCACTTGACCCCGGGACACTGCGACCGTCATAAGTATGAGTCAGTTGTCAAACAGCCAAATTCTGATCACATGATCATGGGGATGCTACAACTGTTTTAAGTGTGAAAAATGGTCTGTTATGGAGAAAGCTGGATTCACTTAACAATTGCATAACAATAGCAGTTATTTCCTTAACTACCGTGACAGAAAAGTCTTAAAATTGGGTGGAACTCACTTAATGACCGAAATTTTGATCCCAATTATGGTCCTAATTTCGAGGACTGCTTGTAATTACTTCAAACTGATGCTGCATTGACTACCAGGGATGGTTACTAATTACACCCCCTTTTCTGAATGATTCATAGCAGGAAATTGCTTTTTATACCCAGCATCTGGGGGGGGTAGAAGAGGGAGGGATGATGGATGAAGTGTTAAGCTGGACTGTTGTGATGCATGACTTGTTCCAGGGCAAACTTAACTGAGTCTGACGGGATGAATCAACTCGGATCAAGGCGATTGATCACGGGGTGACTCAATCCAATGCACTTTTCAGTTTATCCTGATTATAGCTGACTGCTTTCTCTAAGGAACCGCTGCTCATTTAATTAGAACTGCAGAATAGACGATGTCTGCAACGCCAGCCCATAATTCCACCTGGCAACGGGATGCAAAACAGCCAGCAGTTTCTGTGCAAACCCACCTAGGAAATGTTTTACAGGTACTCCTCGACTTACGACCACGATGGAGTCCAAAATTTATGTTGTTAAGTTGGGCAGCTGTTAAGCGGGTTTTGCTCCATTTTGCCCCCTTTGTTGCTACAGTTGTTAAGTTGATGACAAGGTTTTTTTTAAATAAATCTGGCTTCTCCCCATTGCTCATCAGATAGTCGCAAAAGGGGATTACGTGACCCCCGGGACAATGCAACCGTCATAAATAGGAGTCAGTTGTCAAACATCTGAACTTTGACCGCATGAAAAGGGGATGCCACAAGCTTTCTAAGTGTGAAAAAGAATGGTAACTCACTTTTTTCAGTGCTGTTGTAATTTCGAATGGTCGCTAAATGAATGCTTGTAAAGCGAGGACTGCCTGTGTTAGATTTGAGGGGATCAAAAAACTTGCAACCTTAATGCTCCTCATACTGAAATGCATTTTAAGTAGGAAGGAACAGACTGGCAATGCTAGATTTATAGAGCTGGCTTGCAACTCACAGAACAGCCCATAGATGGCAGCTAAGAGGCACGAATTCCACATCCCCTTGCGCCACCTGGTGGCCATCTGATGTACTGCAAGGCAGGTTAGGTTGTCAGAGTTTAGGCTGGGTCTGAGATCAAGATAAAGCCAACGGAAGAGAATATGTGTAGCTCGGTCTTGAACTATGGCAGTGGTTCTCAACCTTTCTAATGCCACGACCCCATAATACAGTTCCCCATGTTGTGGTGACCCCCAACCACTTATACATCACCGGGTGCCAGAGGCGTGGCCAAAGAAAAGGGGAAAAAATGGCGGACAGCCTTGTTTGGCGACCCCCGTGAAATGGTCGTTCGATCCCAAATGGGGTCCCGATCCACAGGTTGAGAACCACTGAACTATGGGGTCCGTAGTACTCTCTGAGCTCCGGTATTTTCTTGCGGACATTTCACGACCCAGCTAGATAATGTCATCAGTGCTAGAAGGGAGTGGAGGGTATAGAGGAGAGGAGAGGGAGGACTGTGGGGTCCTTTGTGCTCTCTGAACCTGGTTATTTTCTTCCAGATGTTTCATTAGCAAACTAGGTAACATCATCAGTGCTGGAAGGGAATGGAGTTTATGGAGTGGAGGAATCCAGATTAGGTATCATCAGTGCTAGAAAGGAGTTGAGTAGGTGTAGTAGAGAGAAGGGGAAGGAAGAAGAACAGGTGGAGAAGGAGGAGGAGGAGAAGGAGGAGGAATCTGGGGTATTTGGTGCTCTGTGAGCTTCGTTGTTTTCTTGCAGACATTTCATAACATGACTAGGCTACAGTATGTCATCAGTGCTAGGAGAGAGTGGGGTTTTCTCTTTTTATACTCTAGTGCACGGGTCTTCAAACCTGGCCCTTTTATGACTTGTGGACTTCAACTCCCAGAATTCCTCAGCCAGACAGGTGTGCCTGGCTGAGGAATTCTGGGAGCTGAAGTCCACAAGTTATAAAAGGGCCAAGTTTGAAGACCCCTGCACTAGTGCCTTAGCCTGTCAGTGTTGGCACTCAGTCAAATCAGCCATCAACAGGCACAGAGAGATAAACAACATCTACCTGCTATTCAAAAGAAACAATCAAACCACCAAAATGGAAGCAAAAGGACTAAGCACCTCCTGGCCAGCAATCAAAACCCAGATAAGCAGAGATTAATCACAAGAACAACACCAGACTCGTAATACTCCAATCAAGGAAGTGCCAATTCAGAGAAACAATCCAACAGTAACAGAAGCAGCCAAATCAAGGAATCACCAAGAACGCTCCTGCCCACACTGACAGGGCAAGTCACTAGTACTGGAAAATGGAAAAAAGTTCATTTAGTCACTGAAAAAAGTGACTTATGACTGTTTTTCACACTTACGACCGTTGCAGCATCCCCATGGTCATGTGATTGAAATTCAGACGCTGGACAACTGACTCATATTTATGACGGTTGCACTATCCTGGGGTCATATGATCCCCTTTTGCGACCGTCTGATAATCAAAGTCAAATGGGGAAGCCAGAATCACTTAATCATGTGATTCACTTAACAACTGTGGAAGAAAGGTCATAAAATGGGGCAAAACTCACTTAACAATGGTCTCGCTTAGCAACTGAAATTTTGGGCTCCGTTGTGGCCGTAAGTCGAGGACTACTTGTATATAAATACATATTGCCAGGAAAAAAAACAACTGAAAGTCTATGGATGTATGATAATATTAAAGGAACCTCATGACAGCTCACTTTAAGTGATTTAATAGAAGTTAATTCAGTTCCTGAATTAAACAATAACACAACTCTTCTGTTCTCTTACTTCCTTACTTTTCATCAAGTCAGATTGCAAAGTCAGGAAGAATTTGAGAGGGCCGCGAAACTGAGCGATTGTTCAGAGTTTATATAATATTATGGATTACCTTTATATGCTTACAATAAAAAAGAACCCAAGGAATTTGCATGGGCAGATGCATAAACTAGAAAGTTTTCCAGAAGTCTTTGTAGAGTTCATTTTTTTCCTATGGAATATTCCACATACAATTTATTATTGACCTGCTAGTATGATAACATGAACAGGGGGTTGGACTAGAAGACCTCCAAGGTCCCTTCCAACTCTGTTATTCTGTTATTATCTGAGGCTGCTGAGTCTTTTGCTTTGCCTCAGCCGGCTCGATGGAGGTTTAAAACAGGATCCCCTGGTTTATGAGTCCCTGTCCGTTGTTAAACACCAGTTGGCACCAACAGAACCACTGATTTGCAATTGGTTACCTTGCATAAAGCGAAAAACAAACATCTTGTTGAAACAGGGAATGCTTCTTTTCAGCTGATGCCAACCCATAGCATGCACTGTTTATTCTGCAGACAAACTCATCCAGTTCTTAAACCCTTTTGACCCCTCAAACAAGTTTGGCGACTCGGACGAGACTAAGGAAAAAGGCAAGTGTAACAGAATAACAAAAGTTGGAAGGGACCTTAGAGATATATTATTCAGAATAGGAATAGAATAGAGTTGGAAGGGATTTTGGAGAATAGAATAGAATAGAATAGAATAGAATAGAATAGAATAGAATAGAATAGAATAGAATAGAATGGAATGGAATGGAATGGAGGGGAGGGGAGAGGAGGGGAGGGGAGAAGAGAAGAGAAGAGAAGAGGAGGAGGGGAGGAGAAGAGAAGAGGGGAGGGGAGGGGAGGAGAGGAGAAGAGAAGAGAAGAGAAGAGAAGAGGAGAAGAGAAGGGAGGAGGGGAAGGGAAGGGAGGGGAGGGGAGAGGAGGAGAAGAGAGGAGAGGAGAGAAGAAGAGAAAAGAAGAGAAGAGAAGAGGAGGAGGGAAGGGGAGGAGAAGAGAGGAGAGGAGAGGAGAAAAGAGAAGAGGGGAAGGGAGGGGAGGGGAGAAGAGGAGAAGAGAGGAGAGAAGAGGAGAGGAGAAGAGAAGAGGATGGGATGGAACAGAAACAGGAATAGGAATAGGAATAGTCACTTTAAATGTACACCACTAATCAGCATACCTTAAAGTGAAATTTCATTGCATTCAGTTCTCAAAATAGTCATGTCCCCCTTTTTATTGCCGTTGTAAATTCAAATTCAAATCTTGTCTGTTTATCAGATGGACCATTGTCTGAACTTCCAAATTAATAGCTGAAGAGCTGACCACAGTGGAGACCATCAGCATTGGCTCTCAGAGAAATGTTTGTTCAGAAATAAAGGTCACATCTTTGCTCATACAACATGACAATTCCATAATAAGAAACGGGGTCAGTCATAACTCTGTTGCCCAGAAACCAGAATGCTGGTTTTAGCTTAAACATCTCTGTTTAAGGCGATGAAAAGCTTGTCCAATCTCTTACCTAAAGTCAGATTATCTGAAACGGAGTATCTCAGACACTTTCCTCGTTCAGCCTCAATGGCCATCATAATGGCACACTCTGGAGCTGTTCCAGATACCTACAAGAAATCCAGAGGGGGAAAAAAAGTTAGAAACTGTTTGTCATTCCTCCTAGGCCAGAGATAGGCAACCTTGGCCCTTTTATGACTCGTGGACTTCAACTCCCAGAATTCCTGAGCCAGCCATGCTGAGGCGAAAGGGAGAGGTTTCCAAGCTGAGCCATGCTGGCTCAGGAATTCTGGGAGTTGAAGTCCACGAGTCATAAAGCGGCCTAGGCCTTAGGCCAGAGGTAGGCAACCCTGGCTCTTTTATGACTCGTGGACTTCAACTCCCAGAATTCCTCAGCCAGTTATGCTGAGGGGAAAGGGAGAGGTTTCCAAGCTGAGCCATGCTGGCTCAGGAATTCTGGGAGTTGAAGTCCACCAGTCGTAAAAGAGCCAAGATGGCCTATCCCTGTCCTAGGTAAACATTTCCTTACAAAATACCGTTTAAAAATGGCCAAATCGAAGCCAAAGAAGGGCAAACGTGAAATTTGAAATCTGAAAATAAATAATCAGTAACAAGCAATCGAGATGCCACTGTCCATGAAAAGAGCACAGAATCCAAGAGTTGGAAGAGACCTTGAAGGTCTTCTAGTCCAGCCCTTTGCTCAAGCAGTAGACACTGAACCAGGGGTAGTCAACCTTGGCTCTTTTATGACTCGTGGACTTCAACTCCCAGAATTCCTGAGCCAGCTGTGCTGGCTCAGGAATTCTGGGAGTTGAAGTCCACGAGTCATAAAAGAGCCAAGGTTAACTACCCCTGCACTGTACCATTCTGGATAAGATAGTTGTTAAGTGATATTTGCCTCATCTTACGACCTCCCTTGCCACTGTTGTTCAGTGAATCATTGCAGTTGTTAAGTTAGTAACCCGAATTGTTGAGTGAATAACCCACTACAATTGTCATAAGTATGTTCCAGTTGTTGAATTTTTATCACATAACTGCAACAGACATACGTGTAAAAAACGGTCATAAATCACTTTTTTCAGTGTGATTGCAATTTGAGTAGTCACTAAATGAATAGTGTCCGTTCAAAGTTACGATGAAACTGAAAAAAGGGACCTATGAACATTTTTTCATATAACAAGGGTGTTGTTGGTAGTTGTAAGGACTATCTGTAACACCTCTGTTTATTTTCCTAGCTTTAATGAAATCATATGCTTTTTTTTCCCTGGGAAAGTCACAGACACACACATAATTTGTTTATCATTTTAGCGGTTAGGGTTATTCTTCAAGTTCGAAATTTCTTTTATTAGATTAATCTGGATCTCTCGCAATAAGCCATCATTAAACCAATGTTGTGCAATGTGGAAATGATTGGACTAAGTGTGGGGAGAACTGAGTTCTAATCCTCCTAAGAGACTATGGGCAATTTACTTACAGCCCAACCTACCTCACAGGATTGTGGTGGCAGTGGGGAAAATTGAGGAAGGAATCTTATATCACTGTTTCTTAAATTGAGCAATTTAAAGGTGTGTGGACTTCAACTCCCATTTGATGACCTTTCTTGCCACTGTTGTTAAGTGAATCACTGTTAGGTTACAGGTGGTCCTCAACTTACAACCGTTCACTTAGTGACCATCTGAAGTGACAACAGCACTGAAAAAAGTGACTTGGGACCATTTTTCACACTTGCGACCTTTATAGCAGCCCCATGATCGCATAATCAAAATTCAGATGCTTGACAATTGATTCAGACTTACGACGGTCGCAGTGTCCCCGGGGTCACGTGATTCCCTTTTGCGACCTCCTGACCAGCAAAGTCAATGGGGAAATCCAGATTCACTTAACAACCGTGTTACTAACTTATCAACTGCAGCGGTTCACTTAACAACAGTGGCAAGGGTGGTTGTAAAATGGGGCAAAGCTCATTTTAAAAATGTCTCATTTAACAACAGATATTTTGGGTTCAACTGTGGTCGTAAGTCAAAGACTACCTATATAGTAACAAGGTTAAGTGAATCTGGCTTCCTTTTTGATTTTGCTTGTCAGAAGGTCGCAAAAGGGGATCACATGACCACGGGACGCTGCAGCCGACATAAATACGAGTCCGTTGCCCAGCATCGGAATTTTGATCATGGGGGATGGGATGCTGCAACGGTTGTAAGTGTGAAAAACGGTCATGTTGCTTTTTTTCTGTGTCAATGTAACTGTGAACAGTCACTAAACGAATGGTTGTAACTCAAGGAGTACTGTAGAGCAGTTGCCTTTCATGTCCAAATTTGCTTCCAAAATCCTGGCGGGTAATTGGTGTTTCGGAGACCCCCCCACCAACCACTGCAATCAGCTATTAAAATCCATGGCAAATTCAGGCAAAATCAAGTGTAAACATTTCCAGCATTGAGAAAATGTAATAACTCCATTAGGATATAATCTGTTTGCCAATATGGTCATATCCTCTGAGTAAATATTTTCTGCATCACCGCACTCTGTGCACCATTAAGTCGATAAATATTTGGGGTGGCTGAATTTGAACTAATCTCAGCCTCACCAGGTAGATCAAACAGGAAACGGGTGCAGATGAGCTAATGTCTACCTTAGAAAAGATTATTTATAGCTCAGGGCTGAAATGAGAGGTCCTTGGTGCTCTCTGAGCTTGTTGGTTTTCTTGTAGATGTTTCATGACCCAACTAGGTAACGTTGTCAGGGCTAGAAGGAGGAGGAGGATGAGGAGGAGGAGGAAGACTGTGGGGGTCCTTGGTGCTCTCTGAGCTTGTTGGTTTTCTTGCAGACGTTTCATGACCCAACTAGGTAACGTAGTCAGGGCTAGAAGGAGGAGGAGGAGGAGGAGGAGGAGGAGGAGGAGGAAGGAGGAGGAGGAGGAGGAAGGAGGAGGAGGAAGACTGTGGGGGTCCTTGATGCTCTCTGAGCTTGTTGGTTTTCTTGCAGACGTTTCATGACCCAACTAGGGAACATCATCAGGGCTAGAAAGGAGAGGAGAGGAGGAGGAGGAGGAGGAGGAGGAGGAAGAAGAAGAAGAAGAAGAAGAAGAAGAAGAAGAAGAAGAAGAAGAAGAAGAAGAAGAAGAAGAAGAAGAAGAAGAAGAAGACGACGACTGTGGGGTCCTTGGTGCTCTCTGAGCTTGGTTATGTTCTTGCAGACGTTTCATGACCTAACTAGGGAACATCATCAGTGCTAGAGGGAGGGAATTGAGGAGGAGAGGAGGAGAAGGAGGAGGAGGAGCTGTGGGATCCTCTGTCCTCTCTCAGCTTGGATGTTTTCCTGCAAACGTTTCATGACCAACCAGAGAACATCATCAGGGCTAGAAGGGAGTGGGGTATGTGGAGAGGAGGAATGGGAGATCCTTGATGATGTTCTGTGAGCTACAACTAGTCCTCAATGTATAACCACAGCTGAGCCCAAAATTTCAATTTTTAAGTGAGTTTTGCCCCATTTTACAACGCTGGCTGAGGAATTCTGGGAGTTGAAGTCCACAAGTCATAAAAGGGCGAAATCTGAAGACCCCTGGTTTAAACTTTATTTTATGTTTAAATCTGTTATTCAGATAATTTTCACAGCACTTAGAAGTAAAATATATATATTTAACCTCTCTTTCTAAAGTTACATCATCTTACTCTTATTTCTATAATACAAAGGCAGTTTTATTAGGGGCCTGCATGTTTTAGGGTGCTGAATTGTGCTCTTTGTAGTCCATCCAATCACTTAGTTCTAGGGGAAGTTCTACAGGTAGTCCTCGACTTATGACCACAATTGAGCCCAAAATTTTTGTTACTAAGTAAGACATTTGTTAAGTGAGCTTTGCCCCTTATTATGACCTTGCTTGCCACAGTTGTTAGATGAATCCCAGCAGTTGTTAAGTTAGTCACATGATTGTTAAGTGAATCTAGCTTCCCCCCATTAACGTTGCTTGTCAGAAAGTTGCAAAAGTGGATCACGATACCCCAGGTCATAAATAGGAGTCAGTTGCCCAAGTGCCTGAATTCTGATCATGTGTCCATGATCAGGGGATGCTGCAATGGTCGTAAGTATGAAAAACGGCCGTAAGTCGCTTTTTTCGGTGCTGTTCTAACTTCAATCTGTCACTAAATGAATAGTTGTAAGTCAAGGATTACCAGTATAGAAGCCAGATTAAGCCCTTCCTTTCCTTGTAAGTTTTTAGTTTCTATTTTAGTTGTAATCCTCCAAGCTATATATAGTTTTTCACTGAATCGAAAGGAACTCAGATGTTTTTAAAGATTGTGTGTCTGTGTTTTGGGGTTTTGTTCTTTTTATCTTCCCACGCTGAATTCCTTCTCATTTTTCACCTCTGGATCCTCATCAGATATGCTGGACTGGGGTGCCCATCATCCACTGCATGCATGTTCGCTGGGAGGATGGGAAATGTAATCTGACAGATTTGAGCCTCCTATCTTAAAGGCTCTTAACGGGATCACTTAAAAGTGATTATTCAAGTCCTCGACTTACAACAATTCTGTTTAGTGACTGTTGGAAGGTAGAATGGCACCGAAAAAAGGGATATATGGCTGTTTTTCACACTTACGACCGTTGTGGCAAATGAAATGTGGCTAAAACGAGGGCTACCTGTATTTGCAGAGAAGATTGGAGGGGAAAAAAAACCTTGCTAACTTCCTTGAACATCCTTGCCTTGCGGACTTTGCTGGAGCAACGTAATTGGACTTGTAGTCCAAGATGCCTAGTGGGCCTACTATCTTGGGGAAAAATGCTTTGCATTAACGATTCTTTTGGCCCTCAATCTGGGGTAGGATTCCCGTCTGTATCTACCACAGAAAATCCATTTAAAGACAAGTAATCCTGCATGTGCGACAGATCACTTAAAGCAGACATGTCAAACACAAGGCCTGGGGGCCGGATGTGGCCCGCGAAGTAGTTTCATGTGGCCCGCGAAGCCATCCTGGAAACAGTGAGGGAACGGCCCCCTCTGCCTTGACCCTGGCCCAGGCCGGCCAGGAGCCAATGTACAATTTTGTGGTGGCCATCTATGCTGAAACACATTCAGTCTTAGCTCCACAAGGCTGTCCGGAAACAGCAAGGAACC